ACGGGTATCGAAACCCGGATTCTAGCGTTCTAAGTCCGCAGACATACTGCCGTGCCACTGGGGGGGGGGGGCAATTATTCTGGACATAAGACATTAATATTAGGCCTACTGTGTTTATAAACAGTGCATAATAAGCCTAATTCCAATGTCTTGTAACAAGTGTAATTGGAATAACGTAGTTTGCTTTGATATTTAAATTACGTGTAAAACGAGGAGCCATAATCGAAGCAAATATCCCCGTTACGTTAACATATTAAGTTTTATAGAGTTTTAAATATTACGTTAACATATTACGTTTTATAGTGTTTTAAACATTACGTTACAGTTCATAGTGGTTAATAGTTCCATCCAATATATTTGTTTTCGATTAAATTTCAAATGGATTCGAACTAATTACTTCTTATTGTATAAACCTGACTATTGTTTCTAGTGGTTTTCTCTGTCAGTAATGACTTAACGAGAAGGTCCTTAAAATGTCCTTCAACTTAACTTTTACACCTTATCCCCCCACCCCCATAGAAGCAAATCATACAAGCTTTTATTTGTGGTCTCCAATGACTTAGCGGTAAGTCTTAGGGCCCACACTGGATTTCGATACTCCTGGTGGGCACAATACAGCCAGCCCATTGTGTAGCTTTGTGATTAATAACCAAACAAACTCTGTTTGTTATTTAGTAGTGCGTTAAATATAATAACGTTTGACTACTTTGTGTTTTGTTTTATTAAGTAATATGGATGGAACAAACAACTGTTGGAACAACATGTTCTTGTTTTCACTGTGGGTGGTGTTCAGGTGGCTGTATGGCTTCTGTTTGTTATATCTTTATTAAATTTTGGATGAACTTATGTTGTTTTTTTCAGAGAAGAATGGGCGTGGATGCAATCTTTAGCATCTACTGAAAAGTCCGAATTTCCTACAACAGCTCAGCTACAGTTCCAAAAGCTATTGACGGCTGCAGTTAAAAACCTGTGTTGTCAATACAACATACCAGCTGAACAGATTAACGCCCACAGGTATATAAACGAAACTGGTTTACCTTGTTAACGAGTCTTAATTCTAGGGTATTAGAACAGGGTGATCCAAACGTAAGAGGATTCAGACACATCTTGGATCTAATATGTTTTTTAATCATTAAAAGAACGAGGGTAGCATCAGTTCTAAGAATGAAACAGATCTCTTTAAACCGATCTTTTCCTTTCTTCGATATGTTCTGGTCTAATTACTGATCAGCCGACCTGTATATGTAGCCATTTTCACAGAGAAACAACTTTCCGGGGTTAAAAATAATTTTTATTTAACCTCAGTTTATTATTTGTACAGAGGATTCATTAACTTGTTTATTTTATGAACTGTTTTTATAATCTTAACGTGACCTCTTCTGATGTAAATACTATAATTTTAACCTGATCTCCTTTAGATTAAACCTATTACATTCATGATAACACAAATTCACACAGTCTACTATTGTGAATCTGGCTGTACATATTACGTTGTATAGTGTTTTAAACATTTTTTTCGTTAACATGTTACTTTCTATAGTGTTTTAAATGTAGATACTATAATCCTAACCCTGATCTCTTGTGGTGTAGATACTATAATCCTAACCCTGATCTCTTATGATGTAGATATTATAATCCTAACGTGACCTCTTCTGATGTAAATACTATAATCCTAACGTGACCTCTTCTGATGTAAATACTACCACAAGAGATCAGGATTAGGATTATAGTATCTACATCATAAGAGATCAGAGTTAGGATTATAGTATCTACACCACAAGAGATCAAGGTTAGGATTATAGTATCTACATCATAAGAGATCAGAGTTAGGATTATAGTATCTACACCACAAGAGATCAGGATTAGGATTATAGTATCTACATCACAAGAGATCAAGGTTAGGATTATAGTATCTACATCATAAGAGATCAGGGTTAGGATTATAGTATCTACAACAGAAGAGGTCACGTTAGGATTATAGTATCTACATCACAAGAGATCAGGGTTAGGATTATAGTATGTGTATCATAAGAGATCAGAGTTAGGATTATAGTATCTACATCATAAGAGATAAGGGTTAGGATTTTAGTATCTACATCATAAGAGATGAGGGTTAGGATTTTAGTATCTACATCATAAGAGATGAGGGTTAGGATTTTAGTATCTACATCAAAAGAGGTCAGGTTAGAATTATAGTATGTGTATCATAAGAGATCAGGGTTAGGATTATAGTATCTACACCACAAGAGATCAGGGTTAGGATTATAGTATCTACATCATAAGAGATCAGGGTTATGATTATAGTATCTACAACAGAAGAGATCAAGGTTAGGATTATAGTATCTACATCACAAGAGATCAAGGTTAGGATTATAGTATCTACATCATAAGAGATCAGGGTTAGGATTATAGTATCTACATCATAAGAGATAAGGGTTAGGATTTTAGTATCTACATCAAAAGAGGTCAGGTTAGAATTATAGTATGTGTATCATAAGAGATCAGGGTTAGGATTATAGTATCTACACCACAAGAGATCAGGGTTAGGATTATAGTATCTACACCACAAGAGATCAGGGTTAGTATTATAGTATCTACACCACAAGAGATCAGGG